GCTTAGATATGTTTAGATACTGTTGATGGAAGAAAAGAAGTCAAGCTTTGAAGGCATTTAAACTAGTGTTATTCGGAAGTCTTTCTGAGGACTCCAGACTGAGTCCTCTAGCCTGGGAGTGGCCCCTTCGCGAGGTCCTGTTCGACTGCCCCGCACAGGGTGCCAGCGCACTGCGGAGATGCAGGTGGTGGGGTTCAGGACAGTCACGTCGAACCCACTCAGAAGTTACCTGAGAGCAGAATCACATCAAGGTTTGTGCAGGAGGACATCAGGTTGTAGATTACACAGGCACAATCACTAACTCACAGGCGTTATCTCGTGCAGGAAAGACAAGGAACGTAGTGACTCAGGCGGGAGATGTGGGGGTGGCGTGTGCTCTGCCCTGTTTTGCCTTCAAAGCATCTTTGGAGCACTGCGCGCAGGGGCTCTGGGAAGCGGTGCTGGCAAGCAGAAACGAGCAAAGAGGGCTCCTTAGGTTTGACACTTTGTCTCACAACACACAAATGGTCAGCGTTGTGTTCCTGTTGTCTACAGGATTTAGCACAGTCACGAGCTGTGCGGTGTGTACTAGAACAACAGGCTCCACCACCCAGCCTACGTGTGTGGCAGGCTAAACCATCTAGGTTTGTGTCAGTCACTCCGTGATGCTGGAACAATGACGGGATCACTGAATGAGGCATTTCTCAGAAGGGACCACCGTCGCTAAGCGACACAGGACTCTAGGTAGGTGCTCCGATGCTGGGTGCATATAGATAGGGGCATACGCCACATTTACACTCATCTAAAAAGCATGTATCTCTGCACACACACGAACACAATGGTTATGTGATGTTTATGTAAATAGATGTCAGACACACCTCTCTGCATCCTACCTGACATCTATACACGGCTGTGTTGTCTTCTTCCCTTCTCCATCAGCAATGGATGGTTATTCATCACTCTTAAAACGTCTATCACTCCAGTGAGTGGAAACGGATATTGTGCTGTCTTAGTTGACCTCTCGCCTGCTTCTTGTGGGTCTGAGCACCTCTAGCTAACTTCCCAGCCACTTGGATTGGTGCTTCTGTAAACTGTGTTTCTTAAGTGTCCTGTGTCCATTTTTCCCTAACTTGCTGCTTTGTTTATGCCACGTAGGGAAAGTTCTATGCATCTGGTAAACATAAGCGCTTCTGCCCCTTGCTCACGGCCTGTGCTCTCAAACACTCTGTCCAAAGCTGCTACTTGTCTCCCGTTTAGTTCACCATCTCTGGAGGAACAGAAGGAAGCTCGTGACACTAGAATGAGGTCTGGTACGTTTGCCTCTGGAATTCCGAGTCACCTGGGACAAGTCACTCTGTCCAATGAGAAGACAAGCATTTCTACAAGGTATAGGAACTTAGGACAGACAGGGGAAGGCCAAGTACAAGGACACAGGGTTCCTGTGACGCACAGACTTGCTAATAATAATTAACAGTGAATACTCAGGCAGCGCTTGGGCTACCATGCAGGGTGCTGCTGGAGCATTTCAGAGCATTTCCCATAGGAGCTCGCCGACCCCCACCCAGTGTCATTGTGACCCCACTTCACAAGCTCAGGCACAGGGAAATTCCAGACCACCCAGAGGCAGTTGGGCTTAGGTCGCTCCCCAGGGCCCCTGTTAAGCAGTCTCTCACACACTTTGCTGACCAGGCAGTGCATCCCAGATGTGTTCAGGCGCCTGCCTCTTGGTGATGTGGCACTGCCCACATCGGGCCATGTCTGCTCACCCTCCAATTCTGAGGTGCTACTGTCCAGAAATTTGTACTCCCCCAAATTCACGTTGAATCCTCACCCCTCACCCACAGGTGATGGTGTTAGGAGGTGGGACCTCTGGAGGGTGATTAGGTCATGGTGGTGGAGCCTTCATGAGTGGGACCAGCATCCGTACACGAGAGATCTGAGACCCCACGCCTCTTCCACAGTGAGGCACCACCTATGAGCCACGCAGGCTCAGCGCTCCCTGGGCGGCTTTCTCTCCTCTCCAAAGGAGCCCAGGATTCGGTCATTTCGAAGTCCCTCTGTTGTTACTTGTTTACATGTAACAAACGTCTGCTGAGCACCTTGACAAAGGGACCAGGCATCCCTTGAGCACAGTCGCCCAGTCAGCTGACCAACCCTCCCTGGATTCACTGCCCCCAAGTGACAGCCAGCTCTGATGGCAGGCCACTCACACCTCCTCAAAAATCACCCAGGAACCATTAAAAACCATTCAAGACATACTTGAGGGTAGTATTTTGGGACTAATTGGAGGTAACGATTATTCACACAAAACCTGCACTGTGTGGCCAACACCTCAAAGACGTACTGAGAGCCCGGATGCTGATCCAGGGCTGGATGCAGCAAAGCACATGGCTTCCGGAAGGTGGGCCAATCACAGCCCTTCCTCAAACCTTTCCCTTGGGACACAGTCCCCTTCGCCACCCCAGGAGGCGTGTTACCGGAGACGTAATAAGGAAACTGCTGGAACCACGGTGGAGAAAGAAACTGCTGTGGAGAAAGATTTTCTAGGCCCATGAAGCCAGTGGGCAGGCAGAAACAGGAAGTGGTTGACTCCAGGGATCTCTGAGCCCTGGGGCCAGCTGTCCTTCTGTGAGCCTTCCAACAAATTCCTCTCTTGTATGGATTTTAATGGACAGCGCTTCCTTCTTTTCTCACGGAACAGTCTTCTCCGAGACCCCAGAAGACGCCCTCACCCTCGGCTGATTCTGCTCCAAGGAGCAGGCAGGCATTCCCCGCAGAGCTGTGCTGCCTTGCTGAAGTGCGATATCTGGCTGGCAGTTGAGCCTATGGTCCCCCAGCAGCTTTCTCAGTGCGGCAGAGATCAGTATAGAGGTCTCTGTGATTAAGGCAATCAGGTGTAAAAACAGAAAATACACGTCTTTGTCAGTGTAGGTGACGACACGTCACTGACAATGGCTGGAGTTTTGCACGGGAGTGGGCATGGCTGGGCCAGTCAGCTGCAGTCCGATCACTCGGGTGATCACCCTTCCTGACAGCCTCACAGTGACAGCCGAGTCACGGGGAGATGAGGAAGAAAAACGTGGCAATGCTTGTGGCCTCATGGTACTGAGGAAGCTGCAAGGATTCTGTGAAGACAAAGGGAGGCCTCCTAGAGCCCACACAGGTCTAAACACGAGCAGAAGACACTGACATGCACACACGTGCAGACTGGTGTTCACAAAGCGGCTTGGACCAGACGAGCCTGAAATTCTACGGCCCACACAGGAGCGCCTGGGGCTCACAGGCCTTGGTCTAGAAGGGGTGTGCCAATCTCCACTCTGCCCGAGTTCCTGTGCAGCAGCTGTCTTCTTCATCTGGGATCGTTCCTTCCTGCTGAAGGCCAGAGGCTGATATCCCCATTCACCAATGAGGAAACAGAGGCCCAAATAAACATTTTTAGTTTTGTTTAGAGACAGGGTTTCCCTGGCCCAGGCTGGAGTGCAGTGGTGCGATCACAGCTCGCTGAAGTGATCCTCTTGCCCCAGCCTCCCGAATAGCTAGGACTATGGGCACATGCCACCACGCTCAGCTAATTTTTTTATTTTTTTTATAGAAAGGGGGGTCTTATTCTATTGCCCACGCTGGTCTCAAACTCTTGGCCTCAAGTGATCCTCCCACCACACCCTCCTAAAGAGGCTCCCAAATTACCAGAGTGAACCACTGTGCCCAGCCCTCCAAAGAAAGGAACTGATTCAGCAGGAGCCTACAACTCGTTGGCAGTGGTGTTTGCCACTGGCCAGCCTGAGCTGTAGCCACAGCCCTTGTCACTGTGTATTGTAGGCCCTGTGGGACTGTGATAAACCTCAACTAAGGGGATCTGCAGGGTAACCACCTGATACGACAGAATTCACCAAAATACCTACTTGTTCCCCACAGAGCCTTCTATGCCTGCTTTGAGGAATCCACTTAGGAAACTGTGAACACGACTCTCATGAATGAACCACAAGAACACAGCACTGAGAAACTCCGCCCTCTCAAAGTGCAGATGGTATGCAGCCTGGCTGCTGGAAACCCTGCTCCCGGCCTGCAGATAAGCCACGTGGATCTCAGACACAAAGCGGCAGTCTCAACGTGCAGCCCAGTGCAGAGCTTCCAACTGAGGGTGTTCTGACACCGCAGTCCACTCTCCTGCCTTCCCACGCGCCCTGTGCTCTGGCTGCCCTCGCTGCAGCACAGGAACCACGGAACTAACTTGTCCCGGGCAGTCCCCAGCTGCTGAGCCCCAACAAAGGATAGGAGCTCCATCAGGATGACAGGGTGGAAATCTACTCACCACTCACAAGAAAATGAGTTAGGGCTGACATTCAGTTCTGCTTAAAATCTCACCTGGCCTCCAGTACAAATGCCTCTTCCGTAAACATGACAAGGCGACACCCTTCAGCGGGTTCTCAGTAGCGGGGGCAGCAGGTCCCTCGTCCACTGAGGGGCTTTAACTGAAAAGGGGAACTGCTGAAGTCCTGGGACTGGGCATCCCCTGGTCTGAGGAACACTCTTCACTGCAAGATGGATATGAAACAGCAACTTCACTGTTCTACAACCATTATCAATCACCGAGCTGGGCCTACAGGAAACAAAACCCCTCCCCCACACGGGTGTTACACTCTCCTTCGAAACGGACCAACGTGCATTCCTCGCGTAGAAGGCGCCTCCCGTCATCCTTAAGCCTCGAGTTTGTGGGGCAGCGGCCCTGACGTGGCGGCCGGAGGACAGCATAGGGCCCGCTGTGCTGACAGACACACACGGTGCGAACCTGCCCACGCAGCAGAGGGGCGGCCCCGGGGCAAGGTCCTCCCAGTGCCGTCAGCAGGCCCAGCTGTGCTCGGCCCGCACTGCCTCCTGGTCTAGCACATACAGCACCGTAACCCCCGGTATTTGCTAGCAGACAAACATGGTTCTCTCAGCTGACACATGCGTGACACACACACAGACTTTTAGGGACTGCAACACTCACTCAAAAGTGCAAGAAGAGATCACTCTGCACGTGACGTTGCTTTCTTTTAATTGGAGTGAGGACACAACGTGGTCATGTTCAGAGACGAACAGCCTCATCTAGGTGGTGAAGAACATTTTTATCTTTCTTGGTTAACCAGGTCCTAAATTCAAGGGATTTCCACGTGTTCTTTAAAACCACCTGAAACTGTCCTGCGCAGGCTCACACTGCGACTCTGTACCAAGGGCCTGGCCCCGCCTGCAGCCAGAGGTCATCTCACTGGATGTCATCATCATCGAAAAGATCTTCAAAATCTAGAGAAATAAGCAAAACCACGTATTTACACATACAAGGGTAAGAGCTGAAGAAATCACTTCAAAATGAATTATATGGTCGTCCAAAATACAGACATGATCGTCAATGATCTAATGAAATAAAAGACTTTTCCTGTAACAGACTTTCAGTCTCAGCCAACCCGGACTCAAACACACAGTCCAAGGGGAGAGTGCTGGCCAGAGTGCTTTCTTGCTTTCATTTAAAAGACAATCCTAAGAAAATGCTTGCAGGGCTGTTCTGGGTCCCACGGACACCACTGCACAGCCATAACTCAGCACTCAGGACACGTCAGTGCCATGTCTGCACCCATGAGTGCACGGCGCCCAAGATGCTGCCCTCGCTGCCAGGGCCAGGCAGAGACGAAGCTGGGAGGCCCGTGCTGGGTCCTTGAGAGCAGAGGGAAACAGGCCGGCTGCCGCTGTGAGAATGAGAAAGCTGGACTGAGCTGCGGAAAGGTGAAGCCTCCAGTAAGGCAGTGTGAATGACACTCAAGCCTGAGAAACACCCGTTAAGGCCCGTTCCCGCTGGAAAAAACACAGCAAACGCCTAGTGCACTGCTTTGGGTGATCAAAATCAGGCCCCCCAGAAAAGATTTTGTCCTTCTGTTTAGTTTTCTACATTCCCTACTACAGGCAATCATTACTTTCACAACAGGAGAAGAAAGTAAAACTAAGAGCCCACCCACACGTACTGTGCACTGAAAATGTGCAGGATGAATTATGAACTAGAAAGAGGAGGTTCCACTGCTGGAGGGTGCCTGCTGGCACCACGGCATCCAGCCTTCCTAGGGAGGGTGGCGTCCCTGAGGCATCTCTGGCCACTCAGAGGGTCCCAGCTCTCCCCAGCCACACTGATGCACCCCCATATCCTCACTGCCTCCCAACTGCTGTTTGTGGTTCTGCCACTCAGAGCACTTTTGCGCAGTCCCAGGCCCAGCTGACTCCACACCTTCCAACCTCTGCTCTGCTGCCCGCTCTGGAGAAACCTCCCTCTGCTGTGCTCCCGGAAATAATACCGTCCACGCTTTGCCAGAGCTCTCGTCACAGTCCAGCCCCTGCCTGCTGACTTGTCTGAACCCACAATTTTGTAAGACACGGCGAGGGAAGGGAGTCTGGTTCATGGCTAGAACCCCGGTGCCCAGGGGATAACTGCCCAGCAAAACCCATCTGTTTAATGAGTAAAAAGGACTCAGCAGAAGCCCCATCCACAGCCTACAGGTCTCTCAAAGTAAATGGCTCCTTGAACACATGGGGTTGTCACAACCTGACGGGACAGTGAGTGCTTTGTGAACTCAGTGGGTGGGCAGGCAGGGGACACAGAGCTCTCCCGTGTTCCCTCCCTGACCAGCCGTGGCTCAAAGGTAGACACACGCCCACAATGCTCAGGCTGCTGGGCACTCACCTGATGGGTCAGGCCTGGGTCCCTCTCAGAGATGCTTTCCTGTCAGGATTCAGGGACTGACTCTGGAAGCCATGTGAACTCAAACACTAGAACACAGCAGTCGCCTCTCACCAATGGGCTGGCAGAGGATAAATGGGACTTTGAAGGAGATCATCAAAATGCAAGTGCATGGTGCCAGTATTAGCCACTGCCCAATCCTGCCCACGTGAAGAAGCTTCAAAGTCGCCCTGGTGAGCTGGTGTTTTCGCAGAGCAGCTCTGGAGAGCACTCCGCAGTTTTGCACAATTTGTTCCCTCTGAAGGCAACACCCTTCTCCCATCTCACTCTGGCATAAAGAATTGAAAGAAATGCTATTCAGTCCTCCAGACTCGTCTCAAATGTCACCTGCCCCAGTTCTGACTCCAGTTGGTAGCAGCAAGAATGCTGCCTCAGGGGCATGGCCAGGCACCCTGGGAAAGCCTGCACCCCAACTCAGCAGCTTGGCTGCTCCCCTCAGGCAATGGCTGGCTGACAGTCAGCCTGATAAAGCAGCAGGGACTCAGGATGGCAGGGGGTCTCCGGTAAGTTAGAAACCGATGTGGTAAGGTCACATCCTAGCTGTTAACTGGTAACAAGAGCTTTCTGTAGAGGCCAGCACCATGGGTTAAAACAGGATGGAAAATGCCACCTCACTCTCTGGGGTGAGAAACCTATCTTGTTTATTATTTGAACGCTTAGTAAATGTTAATATGAACTAGAGGAACAAGGCCTGAAGAAATCAGAAGAGAATGAGAGAAATATCCCCTCTAGCAGGTCAGAAGATCTTACAGAAAGTTTGCTTTTCATTGTTTATTTGGTTTACCAATGTTTTATTTGGTTTATCCATGTTTTTGGTAACTAGCACTGAAGCCCTTAAATCAAGAGGGAAACGCATCCTGCGTCCTGATTTCAGAGCTGGGCAAGAGCTGGAGTGTGGCTGTCCCTCTGCAAAGGCAGCTGAGGGTACGAGAACCCAGGCAGGCAAACACAGGTGGGCTGGGAGAGGAAAGGAAACCGGCTGCCCGGAGAGGAGAGAGACAGGGAGCCAGACAGGGTTCCTATGGCCGTGTCTGGGGCAAGGGGCCAGACCCAGCTACAGTCTGAGGTGTCTGCAGGCACGTGTAACACACATGCCAGAGCTCAAACTCAACTACTGGGCTGCAAGCTGGGAACAATTTTATGCTACTTTTCTCCTGAAAAAGAAGGCTGCCTGCCAGGGGCCGCAGCCCACGTCATCGCTCCATAGAGGCTGCACTGCATTCCGAGAGGAGCGCAGGAGCTCTACCCCCTTATGACCCAAATTATTCATGTCACCAAGTTGCTTCACTGCCTTAACCTACAGAAGAAATATTCAGATTAAATCTGGCATCCCATTCCAAGCATCCTTACCATTAAAAAAGTCTGCATGAACGGCCTTTTCATTGGCTGCCAAGTCCATCAAGAGCCCGGTGCTGCCTCCCGCCTGGGGAATGGAAAGGCAAAATTATGTCAGCTGCGTTTTCCAAAAGAACAGGTGATAAGTACATTGCAGTGTCCGCCACCCCCACAGAAAAGGAAGATGGGTGAGGGGAAACAGGCTCAAGCTGAGTCAACATTTTAGTTCCAGATAAAGGAATATGTATGGGCGGAGGGGGAGGGAGAAATTCAAAGGAATGATTTTTAAGGTCTCTCAAGGGCTTCTGTTCCTTGATTCCCCTCTGCTGTTAAAAATTAGAAACCTACCACTGCTCTAAGCACCACTACTTCTCTGTAACCTTCGAGGAGAGGTTTCCAATCCTCCCCGGACATTGCCACAGAGGCCACAAACACGCAAAACTGAGCCCATCAACTCCGCTCAGGATCCCTTCCCGCTCTCTTCTGGGAATGAAACCACTTCCCGGAGGAAACTGACCTGCTCTGCCTCTGAGGTTCTGGTGCCGGCTGCCATCATGGACCGTCCACTGCCACAACTCCATGGCAGTGGAAAAACCATGTCACAACCCAAGCTGGGCAATCTGAAGCCCTCAGGATTTTGGATCCTGTTTAGAGTCACCTGGTGACAGTGGGAGCAGATTCCTCTGACAGCAGCACCCTGGACAGCTGGCCACAGGTCCTGCTGCTGCCCTGGCCCCAGCATTCACAAGGCCACTTGCTCAACCTTGCCCTCATCCCCACGTAGTTGCATGCCCTTGTTCCCTTTCACAGACACTCTCAGAAAAGCCAGAATGCTCAGCCTCCTCCCCTGGCTTCTCAGCCTCCCTCCCTGTCCCCAACACCACAGTAAGCCTCCCACATTCTACCACTTAAACACTGGGCTGAGCTTGTCCCTACCTCCATCTGCCTCATTCACACCCTCTTCGACTGTCCTGTTCTCCCTGCTACCATTTTTCTACCCTCTCATCCCTAAATGCCGCCACCCTACAGAGCAAGTCAGAGCCTCTCACTCCCCACTGTAAAGCTCTCAAGTGGCTCCACATCGCCTAGGGCTGTGACTTTAAAACAGGACTGAGAGGCCTGGGTTTAGTGGAAGTGCTTCAGGAGTGGGGTGCACAGAGCCACCCTCTTACCGTGATTCCAGATGGTTTCATGATCTGGTCCCTGCCCACTGTCTCCCCTCTCTCTGGCACTGCACGCTCAACCATGTTAAACGACATGAGCCAGTGGGCATCCCCCCAACCCAGGACTCTGCTCCTGCCGGGCCTTCATCCCCGCCTACCTGGCAAAAACCAATGTGTCCCCCAGCATTGAGCCACAGAGTCGACTCCTCAGCTGCACCTTTGCTGAGCCCCCTCAAAGCCCTGAGGGCCCATCCGTTGGTGTGTCTTCGGCTTTCTATGACACCTGGTGTTTGCAATCAGCCTCTCTGCCATGTTATTACCTCCACAGGCACAAGGGCTGCCTCTGACCACCTCTGTACCCCCTAAGCTTTGAGAAAGAGGACATGAGGCCCTGACATGCAGGAGCTGGCCTACCACTCCGAGCTAGGCTGTGGTGCTTTCTTGCTGACCATAAACCATCTCAGAACATCAGCTCACATCAGACAAGGTCACTCTGTGAACACAACAGAGACCAAAAATATCCCAAGACGACTGTATAATCCTGTATAATTAAAAAGAAGAACGAGGCCACTACACAAAGCACATAAATGCCAGACATCCCCCTTTTCCACTACGACAAGAATGACGGCTGCTCCAGTCTTCCCTCATTCTAGTTCAGTTTAAGAAGCCCAGTCGGAAAATTGCCCTCGTTTCCAAGGCACAGCAAAGCCCACTTTCTTTCCCCAAATCCCCGAACACTAGCTCAAATCCCACACGAGGTGAGTCCCCACCCGCGCTACGGAGACCCACCGCGGGCCCCCACTGGGTGCTGCCGCCATCGAACAGCAGCAAACGCAACTCCTCTGACCACGAGTGTGTTCCCGGGGGCCGTGGGGGAACCCAGCAGGCACTCAACCCTCAGGCTGCGCCTCCTGGTCCCCCGGGCTAGGGCACACACTTCCCGCCGCCGTCGGTGGCCGCCTTTCACCAGAAGCTCGGAGAAGCCGGGATTTGCTCTCCGCGGGGCAGGGAGCCTGGGAGCCGCGCCCATTGCCCACCCGCCCGGCCTCCCCTCCCCGGGACCCGCGCACCAGGACGCCGCCCTTCCGCTCCCCCTTCCCCGCTCCCCACGCTCGGAGACTCCCGCCGGGCCCGTGTCACCTCGTCCAGGTCCACGTAAGGCCCGGCGCCCTCAGGGAACATCTCGTCCACCGCCGGCTTCATCTCGGGCCCGCGGCGCTCTAGGCCCACTTCCGGCCGCAGGGCCGCTTCCGGCGCGCGCCACATGGCAGCTCTAGACGCCGGAGGACCGCGCCTCTGTGGTGCCCGCCTGCCCGCCCGCGGTCAGCGGTCTCGCATCCGGGGTGCTCGGGGCCGCTCGTGCGTCCGCGGCCACCGGCGTCTGTCTTTGCGCTGGCGAGGGCGGGCGTCTGCAACGCCTCTGAGGGGCGGCCGGGCGGCCACGGAGAGAAAAGGCCGCCAGCAATGGGAGCAGTGCCTGCCGAGCACGCCTCCGACAAGGGGCCAGATCCAGAATAAAGAGGGAGCCTCAGACTCAGCTGCAGGGACGGCCGGGTTCACAGGAGCCCAGGGCCTGACCTTCAGACGTTTGTCTGGAGAAGACACACTCGCGGCCAGTGAGCAGATGAAAAGGTGCAAGCAAACCAGGGCCCCGCCGAGGGGCCGCTGCACCCCTGGGACGCCCAGAGTCAAAAAACAGCAAAACGGGTGGAAGGGTGGGGAGTGAGACGCGGCAGCCGGGGCGGGAGACAGGGAGGCAGGTCCCAGAAAATCAAACACGGACGCCCACGTGGCCCAGTGCCCTTCCGGGCACAAGCCCAGAGGACGGAAAGCAGAGGCTCCAAGGGGCGTCTGTACCCCACGTTCACAGCAGCATTATTTATAATAAATGAAAAAGAGGAGCGTCCCCCACTGTCCCTGCCCATTGATGGATACGTGCGTAAGCAAATGTGGTCCGCGCACACTGTGGAACATTACTCAGCCTTTAAAAGGAAGGGAATGCAGACACCTGCTGCCACGCGCGTGAACGTTGAGGACGCTCTGCCGAGGGAAACAAGCCAGTCCTAAGACAAACACCGCGTGATTCCACTCAGCAGAGGCCCCTAGAGGAGTCAAAGTCACAGAGACAGAAAGTAGAAGGGAGGTTGTTAGGGTCCGGGGAAGGGGAAATGGGGAGTTTGTGTTTAGTGGGGACAGAGTTTCAGCCTTGAAAGATGAAAAAGGTCAGTAGACGGCTGATGGTGATGGCTGCACAGTCCCGTGAATGTGCTTAATGCCCTTAAATGTGGTTAAGATGGAAAGGAATGTGACAGAAAAGCGAGGGAAAGGAGAAGGAAAGGGGAAAGAGGAGGGAGAAGGTTGGAGGAAGGGAGGGAGAGAGGAAGAACAGGGAAGGGAAGGAGAGAAGCAAGAGGTCCTGGAACGAGACTTTGCCAAAGGTTCTTTGCCTAACCAGACTTCGGTGGCCTCCTAACCTCCTCCCAGGCCCATCTGTGCACGGCATTGTCAGGTTCAGTTTTCGCAGAGAGCCCTGCTAAGTTGGTTTAGCCAGAGCCCTCCACCCTGGATATTGGATCAGGTTCCTGGTCCCTAGCATCCCCAGGATGTCTGATCGCCCAGGCCTGTCTTCAGCGAGAGCCCTGTGGGGTCTGCGGAGCCAGCGTCCCCTTCCCGCACTGTGTTCCTCCTAGTCATTTTCCACCCCCAACCCCACCTGCTCCTCAGCGGCAAACAGCACTGCCTGTGCTGTTCGGAGCTGAGCCTGGTCTCCCTCCCCCACTGCAAGATCCCGTTGCAGTGGTCCTCACACCTGTCTCCAGGGTTCAGCACAACTTCTGAAAATTTCTAGTAAGTTTTCCTCAACAGGCCTTAAAGGAGGTGGGTTTGGGGGTTAGGCTGCAGAGAAGGGGGGGCGGCATGGAGGAGGGTAGTTCCAGGGACAGGAATTGAGCTGAAATGTGAGGGGTGAGGGTGTGGCCTGAAAAGGGTCCGCCTGGCCTGAGTGGACAGTGTGGGATGCAGGGAGAAGCAGGCAGTGGGCATCCCGTGAGCCTCATGCCATGCCAAAGTGCGTCACTCTGAAAGACCCAAGTGAAAGTCAGTCCGATGGAACAGGGGCTTGGCAGTGACCAAGAGGAGTGGCCCATTAAGTCAAGGTCTTTCCTAGCTAAGGGTTGGAGCCGTGGGTCTCCACGGTCTGTTTGTATACCCTACAGGGATGGGGAGCTCACCACCTGTGCAGAGGCCATCCCATTGCTGGAGGCCCACCCCTGAGATGCCATCATGCTGCCTGCCCAGCCTTCCGGTGCCCCAGGGTGCCCAGGTGAAGCCCCCTTCCTCCCAGCATCCTCAAAACCTAGAGCCGTCCCTGGAAGACGGAGCCTGCCCAGGCCCCGCTGTCCCTGACTGATGACAGATACAGACGGGGTTTCTCACTTCCATGTCCTGCTGCCTCCTGGGTCCTCCTCCCAGGGGAGTGTCGTGGTGTGGAGTCAGCCGAGCCCTGACTGTGGGTTTGCCTGTTGCCCAGCTTAGTGGCCCAGAGCGAGGGTGCCTGGACTGGAGTCTAGCTCCCCCTTAACCAGCTGTGTGACCTTAACAAATCAGGCAGTGGCCTCTTGTCTCTGCCTCAGTTTCCTCACCTGTAATCTGGGGGAACTGCAGCACCCCCGGGATCATTGTGGGAAATGGATGAGAGGGAGACACAGAAAGCCAGTCCTGAGTCCGCCCAGGATATAAGGTCCCTTGTTGATGCCAGTGTGGATGGAAATGGTGCACATTTATGAAAGAGTGTATGAAAGTGCTCCCCAGGAATCAAAATAAAACCCGCGTCATTTGTGAAATAAAGTAAATGGGGCCTGAGCGCAGCCGTCCTTGAAAGACCACCCACAACGCTGGTTGTACATCTTCAGTCCGGAGTTTATTGAGCATGAGACCAGGCCTGACTCCCCGCAGGGGCCAAGTTTTTGCCGGGACTCCATGCCTGCAGAGGCCTGACCTGGTGCAGCCTGGCGGGGCGGGCGGGCACCAGGCTGGACACCATTCAGTCCTCCTGATAGGGAACATGGAAGCCCAGGGTGCTCCCCAGGGGGAAGTGTGCAAAGAAGGTGCGGGCCATGTCCTCAATCTGGGGGTAGGCCCCCAGGGCCTGGAAGTGCTGCACGTAGTTCCAGAAGTCAGAGGTGGAGAAAGGCCAGTAGGGCATGGCTGGCAGCTCCGCGTAAGGGTCTGAAAGACACATGACACCTGCCTTGGTCCTGCCCGGAGACACCGTCCTCGGAGGCTTCAAGGCAAGTGGATGGTTCCCAGTTGTGCCCACAGTGATTCAGCCTTCCCAGAGTGGGGGCCTGAGCCTGTCCCCTCTCATCAGTGGGGTGATGACCTAGGTCCTTGGGGATGCCTGGTCTGGGAGACAGAGGAAAAAGGGGAAGAGCCGGAGGGGGGAGGCCTGTCCTGTTTGAGGAGGGAGTTGTATGGGGATGGTGTGGGGCACCGGCAGTCTCCTGCTGGGATTTCTGAAGGGAGCACAGACACCCCCGTCCACTACCCCCCAACATAACCTGTCCTAAAGCTTGGGCAAGGGTGGCCCTGAAGATACTGGACTGAGTTAGGGCTCAGAGTTGGGAGGGCCTAGGGGCTGGAGCCCAGGTAGGAGGGTGGGAATGTCAGGGGTCATGGGGCCCTGGCTCCCCCTGCCCAGTGTGTTCCCTGGTGGCTGGAGGGCAGGGTCGCAGCTGGAAGGAGCTCAGAGACCCTCTGCTTGCACAGCTCCAAGCTGGCTCTTGAGGGCCATGTTTTCCGTGCTCAGGCCTGAGCTGAGCCAGGGCCCCTGATGCATCTGCTTGAGATAGGAAGCCACTGCCCTCCCCAGCAGTTTCTCCCCGCTGCACACCAGTTACTTATGCAAATGAAAGGAAAGAAATCGGAGAACGGTACCTCCTTCCTCCTGCACAGGCATGGCCCCTGCAAAGGAAGAGAAGAGCTGTCACCCAGAAGGACCACCCAGGTGCCAGTTGGGCCCACCCCACACCAGCCGCAGGGCTCTGAGGTTTCCCAGCAGTCTGGAGATGTGTATGGAAGGGGAGAGAACAGGAGGGTTGTCGGGGGTCCTGGTGGCTGCCTCCCTCCAGAGCGGCCCCTCACCTGCGAGAGGCCCCAGCAGGAGGCAGAGGGCCAGCCCCAGCACCATGCAGGCCTGCATCTTCCCGGTGCTTCCTGATCTGTGACTCAGGCTCACCTGCAGCAGGACGAACCCAGGAAGGGCAAGACCACCCATCTGTCAGGGCCGGCTTCCTCTACCAGCCCCAGTGGGGCAGCCCTGGGGAAAATGGCATGGATTTAAAAAAAAAAAAAATTCTTATGGTTTTCCTAGCAATTTCCATTTCAGTGGTTTCAAACCACTATTTGGAGGTGAAATCCCTGCCTCAATTGGCCTTAATTTGCACGACTTAAGAAATTGCTCACCCACCCACCCCCCAACCCTGCCTGGCCTCTCCAGAGCTTACCTTGTCTCTGCTCAGCCGGCCGTGCTGCCTGGATGGGCTCTGCTGCCAGCTCAAGGGTCCTCTTTATAGAAGGGCTGTAGATGAGGAAGGACACGTCACCTGCCTCAACAGTCAAACTGAATATTTCATCCCCACCAGAGGATGTGGGCTCCTGTCGCCCTGCTGGCAGGCAGAATCAGAGTGTCAGCTTCTGGAAATCTGATCCGAAGATCGAACTGAGAGAAAAACATCTTGGCTAGGCCATTTCTGAAATTGTTAGGACTGAATTCAGCATTGGTACTTGAAACAAACCCAGTTTCCTCTCCACAAGGAGAGATCCTACGTCCAATACTGGGGCTGGCTGAGATTTCCTCCCCCGTGAGATGGAGCTGAATAATTCCAGCGCTGCTTCCACTTAAACCAGCCGGCAGGAGGAGCCCCAGGTCAGCAGGACCTGCCTGCAGGACGTCCATTGAGCAGAGTCACAGCAGGAAGTGTGGGGTCAAGATGGACTTCTGTCTCCAGGCGGGAGCTTCCCTGTGATCCGAAGTGTCAGTCTGCAGGTGGGCAGGAGGCTGTCCCCACCCTGGGACACCAGCAGCTGGCACCAAGGGTCTCTGCGGGTCAGGCCATTCTGACTACACAGCAGTCCCACTGACCACATCAGTTCCTGTGTTCACCTGTCTCTCCAGTAAGTACAGCCTCCTCCTGGTACTGCCCCTTGGGGTCCCACCACCCCACTGAATTCAGGGCCGAATTTGGTGTGGCAGTCTCCCCTGTCATTCCTGGTCACCCTGGGGGCTCTGCAAGGATTCTGGGAAACTCCTCACCCATGTGTCCCACGGTTCTGGAGTTCAGGGTCCCCAACTTCATCACAGTCTGCCCACATGCCCCCATCCAAATGATTAAGGACTTATTTTTTCCCGCAGAATGCCATACATTTAACCAAAGATACCCAAAGGTTAATTTAATTCAGATTGTAAGGCAGCCACCCACGGATTTGATTTTGGGTTTCCTTTTCAGAAATCTGGAGCCTGTGGCTATAGGAGGCAATGGATTCTTACAGGGCAGTTGTATTGGGGGCCCCCAAGAGCACCCAGGTCAATGATTCACTAGGAAGATGCCCTAGGAGGACTCACGCCGTTCCCCAGCACCACGCTGTGTCGACACATGTGAAATCTCCCCACGAGGGGAGCCCTTCGGAACCTCAGTGCCCAGGGCTGGTCGTGCAGCCCCCTCTGCCTGGTGCGTGTGCAGATCTCCGACCCCCAGGAGGAAGCAGGTGCTCAGCATAACCGATTGTTTGCACATAGGGCTTAGGGGCAGTGGCCCCTCTGAAATCTGGGTGCTGAGGCGAGCACCCAGGCCTGCCTGTCGCCCTTCCCTGCCCAGCACAGAAGCTCTCTGCTTCCTTATCTGCCCCCTGAGCTGGGAATTTAAGCTCTGAGCTCATCATTTTCTTTTCCCAGATTCGACAGCACACTTTTCCAGCCACCAACCAAGCCCACGGTCCTTATTTCCACGGTGGCATCAGCTGCTTGGTCACCCAGAGTCCTGCCCCCTATCGGTCTGTTTTGCACTGGGTGGGCCGCAGTTCCGTGGGAAATGGAGCCACTGAAGTCTTCGATCCACTCAAGTCAGAGATCCAATTCCAGATTCCACCCTGAGCATTCCCATCCCTGGGCCCCTCTCCCAGCACCAATACTGTGTCCAGCCGGGTTACGGGGAGTGTGGCCAGACACGGAGTGAGCTTGCTACAGGAATGGACCTTCCACGACTGTGGGCGGCGCCGAGGAAGGGAGGGTCTGGGAGGGCGAGCCAGGAAACAGTCTGGGAGGCTCTGTCTGAAAATGCACAGCCCAGCATCGGCGGTGGGCCCAGGACCTCCGTGTCCAGCAGGGAAGGTGGGAGCCAGATGCAGAGGGCAGGACGTGAGGGTGAGCCGGGCCCTGCTGCAGCCTCTGACCGTGATGGGGCTGCCAGAGAGCCCATCATCCTTCTGTTAATAACCACATGTCTGAAGATGATGTGAAAATATGCCTACGACGTTAGGAAAGATGATATGATAGCATGTACCGTATCTTTATAATGACTGAATAAAAGACTATATGTGGAAAAAGTCTGGAAGTAGTAAGCAGTGAAGGTGTTGGACGGTGGACCTATGGGCATATATATGTGGTTTTTCTTCATTCTGGGTATATGTATGTTCCTTAATTTATTATTTTTATGTAAGGAAAAAATATCTTAAAAAGAAACCACCCAGTACCACCAATAGCTGTGGGCTGCTGATCACTCGGGCCGTCCTGGTCCATCTTGCCACTCCCACTGCCCCACCGCCACGCACTGTCCCGCTTCCCGGGTCCTGCAGGAACGCTCTCTTGAGAAGACGCTTCCTGGGTCCTGCAGGGCCACTGTCCCCCGTTGGCCTGGACACAGCCTTTCCTGGCTCTACCCGGAGATCCCCGGCTCCCCTGCACCCTGGAGGGCGTCACCCTGGCCACTCACCCATCATTCCTTTCTCACCTGCTCTCTTGCAGCCCACCCGGAATGGCCTCTGTAGGGGTTTACACACCAAGGCGTGTATTGTTCTTGTTCAGTGACAGCCCCTAGAGCAATGGTTCTCAAACTGTAAGAATCCCCCAGGGGTCCTGTTAAAATGCAGGTTTAATTCAACAGGTGGAGGGCCTTGGACTCTGTATCCCTAACCAGCTCCCAAGAGCTGAGGATACTACTGGTCCCCCAGCACACTTTGGGCAGCGAGGCACGGGCAGCGGTTCTCAGCCTGAGGGGGTGAGTCCCTGGGGGCCTGACATCAGATTCCTGTAGTGCGTGTTAAAATGCAGGTCTCTTTCTGGCCCCTCCCACTCAGAGTTCTGATTCAAGTGCTTCGGGGAGCTGAGAATCTGCATTTCCAACACGTCTCTAGGTGGTGCTGGGCAGGTCCAGGGCCACCATCTCAAGCAGTGGCTCTTAACCCTGGCGGCACATTGGGACCACCTGGGAGCTTTTGAATAGTCGGGATTTCCAGCCTCCTAACGTGAGATTCTGATTTAATGGGTCCAGGTCTCCGTAGTTTTGAAATTTCTCCAGGTGACTCTGCAGGGTCCCTGCTCCCCGGCCCCAGCTCCTGCCCCTGCTCCGCACAGTCCCCACCCATCGAAGATGCATCGGAGGCCTCTGGAAGTCTCGTCTGCCTGGGGCAAGAACATGCTCACACGCACAAGACGGTCTTGGGGGACACTGGTGGGTCCTAAGACAACCAGGCAGAGCTGGGCTGCGGGTGCCGCTGGCAGTGCAGAGATCGGGCGGTCTCTGGTGCCCCCTGCTGTCCAGCTTGGGAACACCAAGCCTGGGCTATTGCAGGTGTCACTGAGCCAGGGTTGCCCAGGCCTGTGCCCAGCCCACCTGTTTCCTGGAGGAACAGGCCAAGCACAGACTCTTGTTCATGATTTAAAGTCCTAAAGACACAGTTCACCTGGACATGGGCTTCGGACGGCTGTGCCTCCTCCGTGTTCCTCCCTGTCCCCTTGTCTGGGTCTTCACTGAATGCCACAGACTGGGCATTTATAAAGGACAGGGGTTTGTTCAGCTCACGCTTCCGGAGGCTGGAGAGTCCAAGCCTGGGCAGCCACCTCGCGGGAGGGCCTCGTGCTGCTCCACAGCATGGCTGGGAATCAGAGGGGCCCCGCGGCGAGAGGAAGCTGAGCTTGCCTTTATAACAGCCGTGCTCCCGAGAGGGTCAACCCGCTCCCGACAGGAAGCACCAGCCCGTCTTCACGGACAGACCCGTCTCAAAGGCCCCATCACGACACTGCCATCACGGTGACCAGACTTGGGCCGTGTTCTGGAGCAGACAGACTATGTTCAAACCAACCTCCCCTCGGCTGCCAGGGAAGCTTCTGGAAAGTCCACGCTGCTCCCACATGTGGCCTCAGAGCCCAGGCTCCTGCTGGTGACTCGCTTCCCAGGTCCTCTCTCGCCAGCCCGCCATCAGGGCCCTAGGAACGTGCCCCCTGCTTCGGCACTGGGGCTCTGCTCGCTGCCTGGAGCCTGTCCACCGCTCCCAGAGCCCAGGACCCTCAGACAGCCTCCTCGGCAGCCCACCCCAGCCCCCATCCCTCTGTCCTGTGTCCTCATTGTCCTCAATCCCAGCAGGTGACACAGCCTCCTCGCAGCCCATCCCAGCCCCTGTCACCCTGTCCTGTGTCCTTGGCATCCTCGGTCTCAGTGGGGGACATGGCCTCCTCCTCAAGCCCACCCAGCCCCCCCATCCCCCAGCTGGTGTCCTTGGTGTCCTCGATCTCAGCAAAGATGTGGCCTCCTGCCTGGCTGTGTCCTGCCTGCCTCCTCTCTGAGCCTATGTTAGTGCCTAGTCCAGGTCCACCCAACCAGTCAGTGTCAGAGTCCACCGTGCCTGCAGGCCGGCCACCCTGCTGTCCTCACCGAGCCACAGGGAACATGGCCCTCCCCACCCTCACTGCCCACTTGCTTCTCAGCTGCTGTCTTCTGCCCCCTCCATAAACCCGAGGACCGAGCCCAAATACCCAAGGAGTGAGGATAACGGCGCCCTCTGACAGTCACCTACGTGAGTTCCCAACCCCACCGGTGCCGATTGTCCTTGTTATTTTAATAAAATAACTAAATGTCTAGAATTCTAATGAACATGAAAAGAAAGAGCTTTTTGGATTAAAACTAAGTTGACTTGGAGAGGCCTACTTACGGTGAAAGTCACTAAAAACTGTCCAATTAGATGTGAGTGTGAGGGCTTTAAAAAATGAGAACGAAAGTAGTGAAAATCCAGCCAGACCTGACTTCAGATTGCAGATCACGGACATCCGAAGGCTTCATTCTCAGGAACCCAAGCTGGGAATGAGGAGGAGGCATGGCGGAGGTGCACTCCAGGGGCGCTGTTCTTACCAGATTCTACACGGCTGGGCCTCCTGGGGTACCATGCAGGGCAGGAGATGGTCAGAGAAAAGCCCCCCACCGTGTCACAAGACTGTCCTGTAAAGATGGCAGATTTGAAAGCTAAATTGTTTAAGGCCCATTTGGTTCTTCTTTTTAAAAAAGATATAATTCCTTCCTTTAACCAACTCAGAATTCCTGACTAGGCTCCAGTTCAGGGCCTGAGGGGCTTCTTCTGAAACAAAGGGGAACCTGGCCTGGGGTCAAGTGGGGCTGGGGTTGTGGGGGTCCTTTGGGACCCTAGTTGTCCTGAAAAAAATATGGGATGCCATGTTAGATGCAAATTTCAAATAATCAATGAATACTTTTTAAAGTATAAGTGTGTCCCAAATATCACCAGGGACATATTTATACTGGTAAGTATCCTTGTTTAACTGAAATTCCAATTTTACCTGTTTGTCTTTCTGTCTTTCTTTCTTTCTTTCTTTCTTTCTTTCTTTCTTTCTTTCTTTCTTTCCTTCTTTCTTTCTTTTTTTTTTTTTTTTTTTTTTTTGCCATATCTGGCAACCCTGTGCAGGACAGAAGCATGTGGACCCTCCTGGCCTCTGGCTCCGTGCCCAGGTCTGGCCAAAAGCCAAGGCTTTGAGCACAGGCTGGCAGGGAGAAGGGGCTCCAGGCTCCTGACCACCCACGTGGCCCCAGCCCTGGGGGCAAGGCAGGCAGCTCCCCATGCCCACGAGGGTCTTTTCTGAGATGCTTCCTCCTGGAACTTAGGGTCATGGTCATTACACAATGTGAGCAGATGGGCTGCAGCCCTGAACCTCCCTGTCAGCTGAGGGACTCATGGTCCAGGGACTCATGGCTGTCTGGAACTCGCCTGGGCTGGGCTCATCACAGAGAGAAGCTGATAGAGCCAGAGAGGCAGGCAGGGCAGAGCCTCCTTCTCTCAAGCTTGGAGCCAGGGATGGGGACACAGGACAGAGGGAGCCTCCCATGACTCAGGGAGAGAAGCACCAGCCCTCCAGGTGGGCTGTAACAAGTGCCTGAATCCCATGACAGGACCCACCCTCCACGTGCCATGACACGGCACCTGAGGGCCTGGCGCTTCTCAGTGGAAACATCACCTGAGAGGCAGCCGGGGCCCCAGTGCCTTGAAGCAGGAAGGATCTTCATGGGCACCAGGCTGGGCTGGGGTGGCCTGGCCTGACTGCGTCGGAGGAAGGGGACCCGGGAAAGGGAAGGGCCCACGGCCCCCACAGCCTTGGAGCAAGAGAAGGCGGGAGGTGTGCGCTCATCTTCCTCTTTCCAGAGGACCCAGAGCCTCCAACAGCCACACCCGAACACTGCATCAACATTTAGCCAGTGTTGTCTTATCCTGAAGAATGTGTGTGTGCGTGTGTGTGTGTGCATGTCCACGTGTGGTTTGGTGTGTGTATGTCTGTGCATGCGTGTGTGCATGTGTATTTGTGTTTGTGTGCTTGGATGCATGTGTGGAATGTGTGGGTGTGGCATGTGCATGGGTGTATGTCTGTGTATTGTGTGTGTGTGTGTGGGCCTGCGTGAGTGGGCTGTGTGCTGTGTGGGTGGGGTGTGGGGTGTGTACTTGTATGTGTGCATGTCTGTGTATTGTGTGTGTGGAGGGCTGCATGTGTGTGCTGTGTGCTCTGTGGGTGGAGTGTAGGTTCTGTGTGGTGGGGGTGTGTGTGGGGTGTGTGTGCACTGTGTCTGTGTGCGTGTGTGTGGTGTGTGCTATGCAGTTGGGTGTGGGATGTGGGGGGGTGGGGTGTGTGTGTGTACTGTGTTTGTGTGCATGTGTGTGGTGCGTGCTATGTTTGTGTGTGTCTGTGTGCATGCATGTGGTGTGTGCTATGTGTGTGGGGTGTGTGTGTGCATGTGTGTGGCATGTGTGGGGTGTGTGGCATGTGTATGTGTGTGGTGTGTACATGCGTGTGGCATGTGTATGTGTATGGTGCGTACACGTGTGTGGCATGTGCATGCATGTGGGGTGTGTGTGGCATGTGTATTGTGTGGCATGTGCATGTGTGTGGTGTGTGCTATGTGTGTGGGGTGTGTGCGTGCATGTGTGTGGCGTGTGTGGGGTGTATGTCCGTGTGCATGTGTGTGATGTATGCATGTATGTGGGGGTGTACAGCATGTGTGTGGTGTGTGCATGTGTGTGTCTGTGTGCATGTGTGTGGTGTATGCTATGTATGTGGG